CTGCACCACTCCTTCATTTCAAAATATTTCTCATTCCAATAGACTCTCCTCTCCCATCTCTACTGAATGACCACTTGCGTTTATCCACATTATTAGGTAATGATTAAAGCAAGATCACGGCTGTCTACATCTTTTTTACAAAAGCGTTAATTAAATGCACAAAAAAGTTTTTAAAAATACATATCTAAAAAACTATGCTCTATCTCAGTTGTAGAAGAATAAAAACATAACAGTTCTCAACTGCTGCGATGTCTGATTTACAAAAAAAAACTCACTTCGTATCATATACCTCGTGTTCATATACAATTTGTAACAAATTAACTCACTTCGTATCATATACCTCGAGTTCATATACAATTTGTAACAAATTTTCAATTTTCAAAACCAAATTATTCAAATTTCGATGTCAATAATAGTCATATTTAATATGAGTGAGTTGGAAATAGCTTTACAGACCTTAAACTTTTAATAACTAATTTATAATCGAAAATAGAAAACCTTACGTCCGACAAAGTGTTCAGAACCGTTACACGTAATCTTCTTAATCTTCCTTTGTAATTTAATTAGTTAAGGTAATTTTGTAAAAATGATATTATTCACAAATGTAAGATGTTTCAGTTTGCTAGCTAAAAAGAAGTAAGCGTTTTTTTTGCATTTATTGACTTAAAATTAACTGCAGCCCTCTCCCCCTAGTGGCTCAGCGGTAAGTCTGAAGGCTTATAACGCTGAAAACCGGGTTTTGGTACCCGCAGTGGGCACAGCACAGACAGCCCATCGTGTAGCTTGGTACTTAACTACAAACAAACAAACAAAATTAAATGCATACTTAAAATAATACACTTTAAAACCAAGTACGTCTTTATTTGTCCATATTAAACACCCCCCAGTGGCACAGCGGCATGTCTGCGGACTTTTACCGCTAGAAACCGTGGTGGGCAGAGCACAGATATACATTGGTGCTTAATAACAAACACCATATTAAATAACCACGTGAGTTGTTTTTTTAAACGTGTCACGAGGATGATTATTTAAGCTCCTGTTTCGTGAAAGAATAATGATGATGTCTTTGAGTCACGTGACAGGTGTACATAAAAAAAAAGATATTACGTTACAATATTTTTAAAGCCTGCTTTTAGTTTTACTGATTCACATCGAGAAAGCTAATATCTCTAGAAAACTAGTACTTAACAAAGAACACATGTAAATTCTGAATATCTCAGAGGTACAATTATATCTTTGCAATGTGGCTAATGCGCTTTTGTATTTGAATTTTTGATTTACATCATTACAGATACTCAGTACAGAGGTTATCCCTCGCATTATCGTTTACCTGAACTAAAATTCCAATTCCAAATTAATTATTTTTGAATCGGAAAATAAGTCTTAAGTTTCCTTTCTTTCCAAGTATTGTATAGTACAAACTAATTGTCATGTTTAATCTATTTGTACTTTATCTTACTTTGGAGCTATAATTCTCGTGCTTTCCATGATTTCAACTGTTATGTAGTATTGAAACAATCTTCATGTTTTCCTTTATCCGGACTTTTATTTGATTAGAAATATAATACCCATATTTCTCTTATACTAACTGTTATGACAATGGGACCTTTGATTTCCTAATAACAAATGTTGTGTATTTTAACATTAATATTTGTTTCCTTGATATCACGTTATTTGGTATGGTAAGATAAGTTATATTTGGATAGAAAACGACATACGTAAAGTTGTTGAAGTTTGTTTGTTTAAAAGCAAAACTGCACAATGGGCTATTTGCATTGGATTCACCACGGGGATCAAACTCTCAACTTTAGCATTATATTATTTAGAGTGATATTTGACAGAAGAGAAATTTCCGTCTCAGGAAAAACATATTTAGCTGTAAAGTTTGTAAAAATTGTTCATATTGGTTTCAATGTTTTTCAATGCTCTTCAATATATTGTAACTAAAACTTCTTCTACACAATTCATTTAGAAATTGCGAAATATAACTTTCAATACAACTTATAAATAATAACTTTTAGAAATTATGAAACATTATTATTATTCTACATTATTAACTTATATCTTTATGTATAGAATTATATATATTTGCAATGTATTTACATTAAAAGACCCTTGCTTGTAATATTATATATATATTTATATGAATAAACGCATGATAAAATATTGGAAATGGTTGTACGCACACATGATACACATACAGGAGTTACAAATACTGGGTGATTGTAACTAAATGGTTAATTTATCATGAACATACGTTATTACGGGAAATACAAAACCAAAACGCGTAAGTTTTTATAATGTATTAGTATTTTGTATTTGTTTTAAACAGACAGATACACTTTGTTTTTATGCTACTATAAGTTTATCAAAGCCAGGTTATTTGGTTTCCATTTGACCTTCTCACTAACTGCCTGATCATAGCGTCGTATGGTGACCATATAGTTAGAAGATGTATAAGTAACCATTGACGTATTGTACTTTGGACAGCTCATTTGGTAGAACATTGGCATTTTTATTCTAAGAACTTTTGAGTTAGAGTAAAGCAGTATATGTTATAATACGTCAATCACACAACATCTGCCATATCCAGTGCCGATGAGACCTTTCGCCTAATATCAAGATTCATTAGTCCAGCTAGGATACAACAGATATAGTAGTGATCTGGGCACTATTTATATCATCTAAAGATCCTAGGTTCACGTTCTGGTCCCGAACTATCTTTCTATTTATCTGTTTTTTCATAGAAAAATTAAACTGTAGCTTTCAATAGTAGGGTATGACACACAAAATAAGATGCAGGTTAAAAAAAGTTATGATAATATCAAAATTATGTAAAATAGATTCTCAAACTGTGGTACATAAAATTTGTAATAAGTCCTATCTGAGCTTTCCACATACATATACACACTACTCTCCTCACTTATAAACTCACCCTCTACTTTCATAGACTCACCAGTATTTTCTTCCCTTAAAATTGACAAAAATGGAAAACATATATTCTTCAATCGTGCCAGAAAAAACAATCATTAATAGTTAAGTGTTAAAAATATGAATTCTTGTTACTGTTCTTTTTATTATTATTTTTTCTTAAATTAGGCCTGGGTCTGTAATTTACAAAAAATAAACACAAAGTGCTACGCGAGCCCGAAACGTTTGAGAACCACTGATCTAAAAGATTCGATCGTTTATAGCTGTTGCTCCGGTCTTCTTCAGGAAAAGAAAAAGTCGATACCGCAAAGAAAAAACTATATGTAAAATAGAATATAAAACACCGTTTTAAATGTTATTTAAATTTAGGTTTCATTTAAGTATGTTTATAACAATATTATTACATAATACAGCAAAAAAAGACATATAAACCAGTGCAGTTTCTAACAAGTAAATCAGAACACTGCTTTTAAACACGTAAAGTATGTTAATTTATGTAAAAATGAATCATGCATTAACCATGTTAAACAGTATATCAAAAATGGCTTAACAGAGTGGTTTGTAAAATTGGCTATTTTAATTTATTTTGCATATGGCATCTACTAACGAATAAATGGAAACTCATTTTAGGATATTATTATAAGGACAAATGATTGCCTCTTTTCTCGCTGTACATTCCAGTAAAGAACATTTTATAAGGACAAATGATTGCCGCTTTTCTCGCTGTACGTTCCAGTAAAGAACATTTTATAAGGACAAATGATTGCCACTTTTCTCGCTGTACGTTCCAGTAAAGAACATTTTATAAGGACAAATGACTGCCGCTTTTCTCGCTGTACGTTCCAGTAAAGAACATTTTATAAGGACAAATGATTGCCACTTTTCTCGCTGTACGTTCCAGTAAAGAACATCTTATAAGGACAAATGATTGCCACTTTTCTCGCTGTACATTCCAGTAAAGAACATTTTATAAGGACAAATGATTGCCACTTTCCTCGCTGTACGTTCCAGTAAAGAATATTTTATAAGGACAAATGATTGCCACTTTTCTCGCTGTACATTCTAGTAAAGAACATCTTATAAGGACAAATGACTGCCGCTTTTCTCGCTGTACATTCCAGTAAAGAACATTTTATAAGGACAAATGATTGCCGCTTTTCTCGCTGTACATTCCAGAAAAGAACATTTTATAAGGACAAATGATTGCCACTTTCCTCGCTGTACGTTCCAGTAAAGAATATTTTATAAGGACAAATGATTGCTACTTTTCTCGCTGTACATTCCAGTAAAGAACATTTTACAAGGACAAATGATTGCTACTTTTCTCGCTGTACATTCCAGTAAAGAACATCTTATAAGGATAAATGATTGCCAGTTTTCTCGCTGTACATTCTAGTAAAGAACATTTTATAAGGACAAATGATTGCCACTTTCCTCGCTGTACGTTCCAGTAAAGAATATTTTATAAGGACAAATGATTGCCACTTTTCTCGCTGTACATTCTAGTAAAGAACATCTTATAAGGACAAATGACTGCCGCTTTTCTCGCTGTACATTCCAGTAAAGAACATTTTATAAGGACAAATGACTGCCACTTTTCTCGCTGTACATTCCAGTAAAGAACATTTTATAAGGCCATATGATTCCACTTTCCTCGCTGTACGTTCCAGTAAAGAACATTTTATAAGGACAAATGATTTCCACTTTCCTTGCTGTACGTTCCAGTAAAGAACATTTTATAAGGACAAATGATTTCCACTTTCCTCGCTGTACGTTCCAGTAAAGAACATTTTTATTTTAAAAAATGAAACTCATTACCATTCAGGTTACAAAAAAAAGTTTATTGAAGAAAGTTACTCTATTATACTTACATAAAAGAAACTGTTAGAATTTAATTCACCTATTTTGTAGATTTCCAGTACTGTCTCATGACGTTATCATGTGAACCAATCATATTTTGGCAGGTAGCACATGACTAGATGTTTTCGTATGGCACGTGAGACATGAAATCACAGTATCAATTAGCATAGAATATAAACTTCAATATCACTGTAAGAAAATCCAGGAAAGCTATCGGATTCATAACACTTTTCCGGCAGTTATCATTTCACTTTGTATTGAACTCCATACAAAAGAAAAAGAAAAAAAATCTGAAAGTTTAAAACCTTTAACTGGTCGACTGTCTTTCTTGTAGTGTAAGACATGGGCAAACTTTCAGTTCGAGAAATTTTGTTACTTTCCATCTTATGGTTTGGAATATTTTGTAATTATGTATGTTATTCCATCATTGCTCCTTTCTTCCCTCAACTGGTAAGTACACATTTAAACTTTTAGTGCTATTTATTTTTGCTAATGGGTTGGTAATAAGAAGTTTGAGTTCGAAAATGCAATGTATCTTACTGTAAGCAGTTTTGCGTCAGGTAAATTCTACGATAATCCAGTTTTCTGTAGAAAATTTACAGGATGAAAAGGGATCATTGAAGGATATCACAAGTTATAACAGTATTTATTCCCATCGATATTGATTTTAATTTTTTTTTTTGTTTATCTAAGAATGGATGAAAACGGAAGAAAGTTAACTAAAAGAAATAATATGAATGACGAACCTATAACAGTTTAATTCTGAGATTACTTAACAGAAAAGACTGTAGAAATATTTTACCTATTAACATAAACATACAGACAACTTTCAGTAAAAAACGTGAAAACTATAGGTTAGAATGAAACTTCTATTGTCATTTTGGTAATAAATCAAGCTTTGAATATTCTAAAGAAAGTTCAATATTTATATAATTATAATAATTTCAATAGTTTAAACTTTCTTAACATGATTATTATAACATGTTCTAAGTAATTTTACATTGGAAAGTATTTGCAGAAGCTTCACTATATATTTTTAAACAAATAGGCTAAAAGCTATCATTTTTTAACGGACTTGAGTATGGAGATTATTAATGTACTTAGACATCGGTTCTTTAAACTCAGATACGTTGAATAAAGCCAACAAATAAACAAGCCAAACTATACGATATAAAAGTGGTTAAAAACAGATGCAAAAAAATTGCCAACGTTTCTTCGACACTCGGACAAAGAGCCTTATATTTCGTGCTAAATTAATCGACTGGTGTTTGAAAGATAAAATAGTTCTAGGCATCTGTTTAGAACACTGATTTAGGATTAAATTATGTTTCTATAAATTAAAAAAATTAGATATTAAGTAATATCAAGTACCTACATGTGTATCCATATAATTTCATATATTTGTATAGACACTTTCTTGCTTAAAGATTATTAAGCAGAGACAATTTTATAGTTTAATATCACGGTAAAAAATAATAGTCAAATTTTATCTGTTGACGTTACGTCTGCAAAAATATACAATTAAAGGAAATTGCAAAGCAAAATATCGTAGTTAGGGTGTGGACCAACTAGTCGCATTAACGACACTACCGTCGGACTATCGGCGAAGTATAGAGAGTATAGCAAATTCTTTAAGGTAGAAAATCGCAAAATACAAAATTTATGCTTATAATACATGAAAAAGGAGCTATATAATCGTCAGTTTCACTCTACTTCCGCTTCCAAAATAATAATAAAAAAGATCCTCCGTACTAAGGTACAAGAACTACAGTTAAGCTCCAAAAGTTAGATTAGTGGGGTTAAACCAATTGTGAGTTTTATAATAAACAAAGTGTCCAAAACAATTAGTCAGAAGGTTAATATAATATCAAACACACACCTCTGAAATAACAAAATTACAATAACAAATTATTTGAGAAGGAATTACCCTACTATTAAAATCTAAATCTACTCCAAGAGATATCATGGACTTCTCAAAATGTGCAAAGTTTGATAATCATCATTTTTAATCAAGAATAATTCTTACTTAATCAATCTACAGTTAAAAAGAGTCTTTCTCAGAAATTCTTATTTTCTTGAAGAATACATGTAAATTTTTTGTTGCTTGTTGAGACCATTGTACATCAGTCTATTACGCAATTTTGTGTACCTAATTATAAACTGTCCTTTTTTTATTTATATATACTATAAGAAATACCAAAAGCTGTGAATCTAGTACGCATGTTGAAACAGAACTTGTTATATTTAAAAGTACGTAATCCAAGTATTGTAAATCCAGAACAATTTCATAGATGTTGCTTGCAAATTTATTTTATGTTAAATTGATATGCAAAATGAGATAATTTTCTTTATCAAAATGTTGTTCCGTAGTGTCAGTGCAAACTTTGAATTTATCCACGAGAGTTTTTAATTAAAGAAACTATCTACTGAACCTGATATAACCTACAAAGTGCTTACAATATTGAAATTTACAATACACTATAATTATTATGCGCTTTACTGCAAAACACCACACTAAAAGCCATATTTTTATTTAAAAAACTTGAATCATTATTATTATATAGGTATTGGGAGTGAAGTTTATGTAACCCAGATTAGCCATTGTTATACAGAATGCAATAACTTAACGTATGAACAACAAGGGGCCATTTCGTCCTTCAAGGTTGTTTCTGCACACTCGTCCTTTACAGAAAATAAAAATGTAAACCCACCCTTTACGTTTCAGGAAATTATCGATTATTCCTTTAAATATTTGTAAAATGTTGGTCTACACTACTAACAATTGAAATTTATTCCATAAGCCAATCACCTGTTATTAAAATATAACTATCTTATGTGGGGCCTAGCCTGTCTTTTCTAAATCTTAAACTTGTGTCCTCTCGTCTAATGTCTCAAGAATATAGTACAAAAAGGCTTTATCCTATCAAACCCACGAACAGCTTCGATAAGATCGCCTCTTACGCTTCGTTTCTTAAGAAAAAATAAGTTAAGAGATCTTAACCTTTCCCCATAGGATAATCCCCCCATTTCTCTAACCGTCCTATTTTCTTCATTCTCTGAATTCTTTCTTATAAGTCATTATCCCATCTCAGATAAAGAAACCAAAAGTTTACATAGTATTCCAAGTGATGCTTAACTAATGATTTATATAGAGAAATGGTTACTTGTTTTGAACTGTAATCTATCAGGCAGGTGGTAGCACTATCTATGTAGGGATGGCTCGTATTGTTCCTAAAAATGGTATTTTAGATATCCCCTCATATTTCATTAGGACTTTACAGTACTATATAGTGTTTCCTTTTATAACAATATCTATTCAAGACTGAGTCACAAGTTCTGGGAATGACTGTAAATACCATAGCAAAAAGTTTGAATTTCTTGTTCCTCTTTCTTCTACTTCTTTTTTATTACATGATAACTCAAAAACCAAAACAATTGTGTCAATCAACTTCACTAAGGTGACATAGTTTCAAACGGAGTATCCGTTTTTATAAATATTATTAACTAGTAGTAATTTAAAACAAAATCGTAATTCTGGAATTTTCCTAAACTAGTATAACCCAATAACACACGTTGATTAAAGTGTAGATTGAACAGGACCTCCCTTGAACTTAGACTTCGAAATTATGTAATTTGCGGAATACTAAGCTTATTTATTGTAGGGATGGCTAATATCAATCTTTCAAAACGAAGCAAACAAGATAGTAGGGATGACATTTGCATCATCCCTATATAATAGTACAGGAAAGAATTAACATATAGCAACATAACCATTCAATCACAAATGAGTTTAATTGACCCTATTTTTTTCTGTTAATATTCTACAACACTTACTTCCTTTTTCAAAATTATTTTCTTTACTTGCATATCTATAAATACACCCGAAAATTCTGTTAGCTTTTTTACTAGAAACAGAGTACTCCTTCGATGGCTTGAGTGACTTGTCCACCACTATTCTAAGATATCTTTATTCAGTCACGCTATTGGTTGGGTTCTCATCTACTTTAAACGTGTGATACAATTATAATAACCCGTGTATTGTCTCACATTTACTATAATTAATGGTAATTGGTTAAATACTTGTTTAACTAACCGATTTACCCAAGTTGTTCTGTAGTACCTCAATACAGCTAGTTTAGTGTAATCCGCAAACTTTACCAATTATGCCTATAACAATATCATTAATGTAAAAAGAAAAAGAAAAGACACAAGCTCTGATTTTGAAGCCCTCCACTAGTCACAAAATTCAGTTTAACTGGACTTAATTAATATCAACTTTTTGTTTTCTCTCATTCTACCATCTTACAATTCATTTTATCACATAGATGTAATTTTCATAGTCAATCTTTTGTATGGCACCTTATCCAAAGCTTTTTGAAAATTTAGATATATCGAGCCCACAGCTTTTCTTCGTTCACATAACACGTAACATCCTCAAAAAACTTAACAGATTAGTAAAAAAAGGTTTACCTTTAGTAAATCCATGTTGATTTATTTTATGATACCATATTTCCCTAGATGGTTTTGCAAAGCTTCGTTTATCAGACTCTAGAATGTTTCCCACTACGAAGTAAAACTATAACTGATCTACAGTTTGCAGGGCAACTCTTATCACCCCCCCCCCTTTAAAAATACGAGAACCGTTGACAATTCTCCAATCCTTTAGCATATGCCCACTGTTTATCAAAAAAATAAAAGAGAGATACATATCTGATTTTTGAATTTTTTAAAATCCCGGAGAAAACATTGTGTTGCCTTCATGTTTTATATATTTTTAATCTCTTCATCTTTCTTTTCATGACCAAGTAAATATTATCTACAGCAGTGTTTCCAAAACATTTTCGGCCACGGAACGCTTTTGAGCTCTAAAACTATTGATGGAACCCTTAAGAAACATTCTTATGTTAAAAAGTCCAATCATAAAAAAATATTATAAGAAGAACGTGTTTTTCGCTTTAAAGTTCCTTCTTTTAAACACAGATCCATGGCTAAGTAGTATCAATACTTGAAATCACTGTTATTTTGTAATGTTACGAAATATTCACAAACCCAAGACTAGCTGTCCCCAGTGGCACAGCGGCATGTCTGCGGATTTACATCGCTAGAAACTGGGTTTCGATACCCGTGGTGGGCAGAGCACAGATAGCCCATTGTGTAGCTTTGTTCTTAATTACAAACAAACGACACTAGCTTGTTCTTTCCTTGAAACACTGTACTCGACTATCACTAGCGACTAATTTACAGCGAGTCATCAATCAGGCTCCGCCCATAAATGAAATAGCCATTGATAAAGGGAATACAGGATGCTACGATTTATGGGCTGACGAACTTTTAAGCCATACCTATACCTGGCCTATTCGTTTACTCCGACTACATCACAGAAAATGTTCTCGTGGAAACCCTGGATATATCGTACCTCAGGGTTCCGCAGAACACAGTTTGGGAAACAC